TGGAACAAAATCTTCTAAATATTCGCTCTCTTCCCGAGAACTTCCTCTAAGATAACTCCACTTCTCTTTTTCGATTCTTGAAAACTACAGAACCAAGAAAAAAGAGAGAAGTCCATTCGGCCTCTCTTGGGGTTACCACGACCTGAAACTCCTCACAGACGTTCTGCTCTCTTCAGCACTTTCACTCCTCTTTTCTTTCCCGAGGTGTCTCTTGATTTATCTCCTCACCTTTTCTCTCCCTGCGGCGTTTTTAAAGGACTCGTCTCCACTTTTTTTCCTCCGCCCAAAAAACCTCGAAGCCATTACAGCTGAGATACTGTACCCACTCTCCGGAGAAAAGCAATTACCAGAACTTTACTGTTCATAAAACTCCACCGATTAGGGCTGCAGGATTTGATCTAGTGCACTTTGATTTCTTTTTATGTTACACACAAACCATTAGGGGTAATTGAACTTGGTGTAAAGCTCAGTGTCATCGGAGGCGATAATTTCATGCCTGGAACAAACTGCTTTAACTCCTGGTGTTTGACCTTCTGTATCAGATGTGCTTTGGGTTGTCTTGTGGTGAAACGTCTTCCTTTTCTGTTCAGCCTGTCACCGGCAACCCTCTTTCTCTCTCGTTCTCTCTGTGAGCACACGGCTTTGAACTCCAGCGAGCAACTTGGCATCACCAGCAAGCAATTTGGGATTAGCCAGAGCAAGAAACAGAGAGCCAAGAGCACAAACTGTGCAAATGTGCGCGTAATGCCAGTTTATGTGATTATATTGTCTATTTATAACCGACAAAAGTGATGTCTCAGGTGAGGCTCTGCCAGCCGAGGAGGAAGCGTTTGTGTCCCAGGATTCGGCACAAAGATCATCTCACCTCGCTGCTGCTGCTGAGGCGTCGTGTTTACAGCAGCATGCTCAGCTGCAGAGAAACGTCGACGCGTTTCAGTTTGTTTGCATCAAAGAGGTTAAATGATGGAATTTAGTGAAGCTCAACGTGACATCCTGCAACTAAAATCAACAGAAAGTGTCGGAATTTAAACTAAACTGTTAAAAAAAAGGAGTGATTTTACAGATTTTATAAAGATATCAGTAAAATGACAAAAACATGCAGTGAATTTATATGTATAGTGTAAAATTGCATTAAAAAGTTGAACTAAAAAAGGAGAAAAACTTAAATTTTCTGGCATAAAAGCTGCTAAAATACATTCATGAATCTATTGTAATTTTTCCAAGACTTGTTTTTTTTTAAATTTCATAGAGGAAAGTTTCATATAAAATACATTTCAGACAAATAATTTCCTAAAATTAGATGCAACAATACAAAATATCATATTATTATCTATAATTCTGTGTAGATTAGTTTGTTAAATGAAAGAAAAATGTGTTTTAATGTCTTTTTTTCCACACGAAAAAGCCAGTTTATACTTTTCTCCTCCACTGATTTAAAACAACTTGAACATATTCTTCTCAATTCATAAATTTACAACAATATCGAGTCTAAAAATGACTCCTGAACATGTGCATTCAGCATTAATTACAACAGAAGAAGAAAAAATGCCTAAAAAGACGAGTAAAATATAATAAACCCACTGATCAAGTGTTTCTTTTCTGTTTATACCGTCACACTAACTGTTAGATGATTATAACTATAAGATTTTTCTTCCATTATCTTGTTCAAAATTGAAAATAATTTCCAAAATAAATTGAGGATAATTTATAAATCTATTATAAGATTGCTACCAGCGACTGAAACAAGCCTCCAGAAACACAGTAAATGAGCTGCTATAGAATATAATACGAGAGGAGAAGTAGAATTAAATAAATCCACCATAAGATCAGAGAACGCCTCGAGGAGCACCATGAATTATTATTGAGCTGCAATAGTATTTAACACAAGAGGAGAAATGAAATGTTGGACAAACCAGGAGCCAAATATGATAAAAACACTTTTAGGAGAAAATTTCTTCTGACGTTTTGTCAGTTGAGTGAAAAAAAAAAAAAAAAAAGCATAAATTTTAGACGACATCACTTGAACACTATAAGAATAAAACTCTTTCATTGGCTTCTAATAAATTGAAAATATTAATTTTTAATTAGCTGAAAATCATCAATAAATCCACTAGAAGATTGTTTTAGGAGCCTGATAATCCAAACTGCTCTCTCTCTGTAAAAGAAATAAAAACTAAATACATGTAATATTGGAAACACATGAACTAAATACAGAAAAACACTGAAAATCACTAATAATAATTAAAATAATTCATAAATTCACCCAAAGAGCATCACAATAAATGATTATCAAGCTCCTATAATATAAAATACAAGAGAAGGAATAAAAACAATAAGTCAAATATTGTAAAAACACCACAAAGCTACTACTGAGTGCACCTTTATTGTGCTTTTTAACTGTTTACGCCCTTAAAAAAATAATTATAAAGTGTAGATGACACCACAAGACTTCAGCTGTAAGCTTTCTCTTCCTTTATCTTACAGTAAATTGGAAATAAAGTGAAAAAAAATCTCTTAAAAATGTCTCAGAATGCAATAAATGATTATTTAGCTACTACAGTTTGTATTAATATTAGAAATCCAGGAGCCCAGTAATATAAAACCACTGATTATTTGCATTAAAACCACATGTAGATGCTTGTTTTCTTCATTACGCCTGTTTCAGTGACGCTACCAGGACATAATAAGTAGATTTTTCTTCCATTTGCTTCCAATAAATTGAAAATAACATTAAAAAAATGTCTCAGGATGCAATAAATGAGTGTGTAGCTCCTATATTAACAGGAATTAAATCATAAAATCACTATGAAGTTGCAGAAGATGCATGCAAACACCTGTTTTTTAAACTGAGCCCATAGAAATTGATAAATCTTTAATAATAATAGAAGAAAAATAACTGTGAGATCAATAAAAAATCAGTAATTGTCCAGATGTTCTTGTTTCTGATAAAATATAAATGAAAGCAACAACATGCAGCTTTATTCTGGATTCAAACCAGATTAATTCTAAGAACTATTCAGGATTTAAAGAGCTCATAAAGTCCATAAAATCAGCGTGAGGAGCAGAAAGTGGCTGCAGGAGCGTCTGTGGAGGTTTTCAGTCTAGATCAGGTGAAGTCTTGTGCTCATGAGGAGCGGCTGTGAGGGTTTGGAGGGTTTTTTTTTTGGAGCTCACCGGAGTTGAAGAGGATCCAGCAGCAGCACAGCGGCGCCAGCTCCCGTCTCTGCTCCATCTGGGACACAAGCACAAGCTCAGCTCTTCCCACAGACCTCCGTTCTCCCTCCGCTCATCTCCAGACAGCCCCCCCGCCGCCGCTCTCCTCACAGCTGGATGATCCGAGGACGTCCTCCCTCCGCCGACACTCTGAGGTCTCAGCATCCGATTGGAGCTCGCAGCCTCCAGCAGCGCTCGTCTCTGTGGAGCTCCAGTCTGACGTCCTGGTATGAATGTGTGACTCTGAGGGGAAGTTCTGCGTTAATGTGGCCTGAACCGACTAAAACAGTGGAATTTATCAGGTTAAGTGTCACTATGCTGTAAGAAAAATGTGTTTTAAACAGTTTTTAACAGAATGTTTTGATCATTTTAAGGTTTTTTACAGATTTTTCACAGTTTTGTTAAATTGCAGATAATTTCTAGCTGTAATAATAAGTATTATTAATAATAAATCACGTTAAAACAAGCACTAATTAACATGTTGACATAAAAGGAAAAAGATTTAAATAATGTCCAAATCAAATAGTGTATTTTTTATAAATAGTCATTTGTTTTTCACTGGAAAATTACACTTTTTTTTTATTGTATGTAAATCTTCCAAAAAAAAAAAAAAATATCAGTTTTGTTAAATTGCAGATAAATTTCCTAACATCATAGAATAAAAAGTAGAAATGTACAAATTATAACTGGAAAAAAAAAGAAGAAGAAAGGCCATAACTGTAAAGAATTTTTTTTTTAAATCTCACCTTAGTAAAATAGTAATTTGTCATTTTACATGTTTGACCATAAAATTAGACTTTTTTTAAAAACTGTATTTAGATCAGCAGAATATTTTTTGTGTTGGTTGTTGTTTTTAACATATTTTATAACAATTTAAATGAAAAATTATCAATATTAGGACAACATTTTCCAATTTTGTAGAATTACAGATAATGAATTTAGTATTTTTTAATATTTAAAAAAGCAAAAATCTAGTTGTTTTATAGCTATTTGATTATATTTGTTATAATGATATTTTAAAAAAAATGTTGTTTTCCAAGTTTTCCAAGTGTTTTTAAATTACAGATAATATCTAATAAAATCACAATAAAGAACTTTTTTTTTTTTTTACTGTATTTAACTCAAAAAAATGTTCTTATTGTATAGATATTAACGTTATTTTTTACATTTACCCTTGAAAGATAGTAAATAATTTCTTAGTAGTTATTTTCCTGATGATTCCTGTTTTGTTAATTTACTGTAAAGGTGTTTATTTGGTTTTAAACTTTGGTCTTGAATTGCTTTTTTCAAAGCGTCCTCTGCTGCTCAGACCTTCACATCCCGTCCTACAGACCATAATAATCACACGCCGCCTCACTCTGGCCGTTTGTTCTGACTTTGGGTTTAAATGAAGCCAGAACACCTGAGGGCTCCAGAGTTCACCGGATAAAAGCAATAAGTGGTGACAAATCGGATCCACCGAGTCCGTCCAGAGCTTCATAAACCAATAAAAGGTCCGAAAATCAATTCCAGCGCCGACACCAAACCAGAGCCGAGCTTTAGACCCGCTGTCGTGTTTCTGCTGCGGAGTTTTTAACCAGCTGGAATTGAGATTTATTCTTCTGTGGGAGCAGCTTGGAGCTCTGCAGGTATAATGACGACGTTTAGACTCCAATGAAGACCAGGTTCAGGTTCCTACCGACGGTTCTAC